CGACTGACCGACACGAATCCGCACACAGTTCAACCCAGGGGTCAGACGGGAATCCAGATTCGGTGTAATGTGGTTCACCGTTTGACAACAACTCGCAGCTGTTGATCGTTCAAACTGTTCAAACTGAAACTGTGTATTCCGAGGCTTGGGGTGTATCGGTTGCGGTTTACTGGACCACGAGCACGGATACATGTGTTGGTACAGCTCCATGCCGCATTTGTGTTCGAACACGGAGTATCGATACACAAACTGACAAACACACACACACAATAGGCCACTTTAAAGTATCTCTCCCATCCTACGGAGCTCAATTGCTTACGCTACCCCCCCTTCCAACCTGCGGCCCGTTCAAATGATACTGAATAAGAAATCTCGTGTAAGAATGTCTTATTGGGGCCAGTTTTCACGTTAGGTTGGTGCATGTCATGTCAGCGATTTCGCGTGCAATGTAAACGGGACCAAGTCTAAACAAGCGTGTAACCGCAATCGTACACACACACACACACATACACAGGCGCTCACTAAAGCGTGTATTGGGGGTATCATCGAAACCGAAATTTCCATCTGCACGATGCTTCTTCACACTGCAACACATCACGCGCGCACATAGCACACGCGCCATACCCATACGCTCATGCATGCGTGCACACAGGCAACAGGCGCATCACGCACAACTGATTGTATTGCGCATTTTAGTTGGACCGATTAACCAACAAACTGACTATAGACAAGTTGCATGCATGCAGGCGCACCCGGCTTGTTGGTTGATCTCTGAAGTCTGCTGATGTTGTTCGGCTCGTTCCAATCCTTACCATCCGGCCCGCCAACGCGTCCCACGTCCCACACCCGCCTCACTTCACCCACCAGCACCACCACACTGAGTGCGGAAAACCTGTCAAACTGTCAAGACCGCGGATGCAGTTATGAATTCGACTGTAGCACACACACGCACACACACACACAGTCCGAACGCTCGTGCAAGCGAAGGAGGAGGAGGAGCGCGCATGAATGTGTCCGCGTGCGTTTTACCAATGTGTCTGTTTGACTAGCTAGCTTGTTTGTTTGCTGGCCGGCCGGCTGGCTGGCTGGCTAGCTGTCGAAAAGTGCCGACGTGGGTTATGTGGGAGAAAGTGCGGGACCCAGTTCACTCACTCGCTCGCTCAGCACGCGTACAAGCGCGGATACTGCCGCTGCCGCTGCCGCTGCTGTGTATATCCTGTCCGTTCATTCACGACTGAAACTCTTTTTTCACGAACACCATGGCCTATTATACACCAAAATACATACACACACACACACACACTCGGACAAGCATAAATTCGAGAACACTGCTACAACATCGCTAGACCGGGAGAGCGAAAGAGAGCATATCTAATGCATATACGTGCAAGCAAACGAACGGGTAAACGAGTTGAATTCGACAACTGTTACGAGAATTCAACCGAGACCGTAACCCTCACGGAAGCGACCAGGCCTCAATGAATACACTCAACCACGCACCTATATATATATATATATATATATGTACACACACACACACACATCAACAGAAACGTGGATACATCAAAAGCCTTGGTTTCGAAGCTGTCAGGTCGTTTGTCGAATTGTTTTTACGGGATATTTCTGCTTACGCGCACAACTGTGCAGCAGCGTGAAATGACGGAGTTTGACATCCGTGTGTGTGTGTGTATTTGTGTGTGAGCACTCATGAAAGTTTCTCCCCAATCGAAATGAAATGCTGGGTAATTTACGTGCCCGCAGATAGACAATACTAATACTAACGCGCTAAACGGTTCAATCGCTTTATTCCCGTTCATTTTGCTATTTTTACCGAATGTGGTTTTTCGTCTAGCCGAAACTTTTGATTGGCGCTGATTCTGAGAAAAAACGACTACGGTTGATTTTATGCAAACCAGATTGTATGTATGGTTACCACAATCATTGAACTCCATCAAGTTATTGCACCATCGATCGTTCAGCTTCTTTGGGAAGAAATATACCTGTGCAGTGCAATCCGGGTCAGACCGTGGAATTTCGAGAGGCATTTGCACGATATAATACTAGATATTTAGAAATTTGGACATTGTTCAGCGTGCCTCGTATCGAACCACCACTGCAAACCGGAAAAGTACTAGATAGTTGTACAAGTATGTTATTTCGGCGCAAGACTGACTGTTGCCAGTTTGTGGTGCTTGTGCTTGATGGTAGAAGTAGGGGGAGGGGTCTCGCGCATTGCACATTCTGGTTCGTTACGTCACAGGCTCAATACGCATAAACTGTCGGTAATTCTCAGCAAGAATGTAACAGTATGTAATCAATGTTCCCCAGGGAGGTGAGATAAGTGTCTGAGATGAGCGAGCCCGCAACAAGCTGCTACATCGCGTAAATAGAAAATGGAAACCGATCTGATCAGCTATCCAGTGCCTGAAAGGTCCCGGGTTTGATCCCCACTTGGGTCGATGGATTCACACGGCTGATAAGACCTAACCAGGTCGAAACAGTTATACAGTACTTCCTAGTGTTTTATTTCGCGCTTCATTTGCTTTGTACACGACAAATTCCACCGATGTAATTCAATCAAATCTTCCACGACTCTCATGGAATCCTATCTTGCCGTTGGGACTCACCTCTGATGTGGATATGTTGTAAACACACGCACGCACGTACGTAGGCATGACATTAATCAACTTCATCACCCCACCCCCCCGATTTATCCAAATGTGATGAAACTTAATGCACCTATTACACTAGCGATTGCGTTTATATGGGATGGCTTTGATGGACTGAGTGATTGATCAAGTGGCTAAGCAGGATTTAGGGATTTCAGTGCATAGTATAAAGAGTACAGCAAGTGGACTGCACCTAACAGGATGCCTTGCCATTACCAAGTCATGATATAGAGGAAACCGTCAAACGTTTTACTTAGTATACATTAAAGCGTAACAGACACAGTGCTTCCTATGAGAAAAATCGGTTGCTGCATGGTCGAGAATCACATATATTTCAAAGGGGAAATTCGTCGTGTATATGGCAAATGAAGCGTGAACTGAAAAGGTCGGAAACACTGGACAGCTGTTTCGACCTGGTTGGGTCTCATCAGCAGTGAGCGAATCCATTGACCCAACGGGAGATCGAATCCACGACCTCACAGGCAGAACGCAAGCATGCTACTCACTCCGTGGCCGGATAGCTGATCAGACCGTTTTTCATTTTCCATTTGCACTGCTTTCATTGCTTCCAAGCTTTTCAGTTCGCGCTTCATTTTCCCCATACACGACGAACTTTCCCTTTGAAATCGAATCAAATCCTCCATTACTGACATGAAATATATAAATATATATATATATATGCTACTATTCGCCCTAACTTTCAAATATCTGTGTCAATATTAGGGCAAGTACATACAGTTGGGAAAAGGTTGCGCGGACACACAACTGTACAAAATTTCCACCATCCGTACACAACAGTCAGTGGCTACGGTAACTAGGACGGGACAGTGGGCTGCAAAAGTGTGAACAACGCTCTTTGCAACCGGTCTATGTCTCAAACTGTCAACTCTATGGATCATTTGATCGTTTATCTGATGCATACTAATAAGATATATCTAAAACTGTCAGTGATGAATCACTGACTGACTGAATGACCCCGGGATAGAATATGATACTTTTAATTTTTGAGGACAAGGAACAGAGCAGGAGGACAACAACGACCACAACAGCGAAGAAATCTGTGAAGGGTACCAATGTGTACGAAGCGAAACCCGTAAAACTTTGTTTCTATTCGCTTCTTTCTATCTGGCTGTTGAATCATCCTTCTGTCAAGCTCAAATCAGCATAGTGAAATTCATTGTGGTGAAAATTTTCAAATGGCGAACTAAATGTACTTGAACACATGATGGTAATAACTACATAGATTTGTGAGAGCCACATAAAACACATCAACACAGGTACTGTCCAGGTTAAGCATGTTTCAAATGGACTGAACGATATTCATCGCCTCCCCCCCCCCAACCTGTCCCCCTCTTCTCTGGCTTGTTCAATAGGGAACTAAAATTCTAATAATAATAATAATCGATTTCTGAGATCTTGAATACATTACCCCAAACCGGGTTACCATGTCACGGGAAATCTGCTTGACAGAACGATGCACCTGTTTCATTCTTCCTGTGAGTCGGGAACAGTGTGTACATGCATGATATTCACTGGGATTGGAGCCCCGGATGAGACTGATGCCTACCCTTAGTTGAGTCATTAATACAGTTGGAAATCAGACCACAACAGTGCTGGATTATTATTGTTGAGTCTGCTCACAAAGCTTTAATTAAGCTAAAGTGAACAATCAACGTGTTAATTTGATATTCAGTATTGCAAAACGTTTTAATTTCCTCCGCCCAACATATCCCTAAATGTATTTCGAACTCCGGTGAACGAATCCCTATGGACACATATATTCCACATAAAGATGAGAAATAACTCGCGTTCAGATTTATCATTATTGAGATTGTCATTCTCCGGCCCAATCTAGTGCGTTTTGATACCACGAATGTCTGTGGATTTGGGCACATCGATGAACGGTGCTACTGAGTCATTTCCGGTCCACTTGCATATACTACTTCCATTTTCCTAAGAATCGCATTTGAACTGTCAAACTGCTGACTGCGATGATGAAAAATCTAAAAATAAAATAAAATCCGAGGTGCTTTCACGGACCGAGGACGGCTGGTCTAGTTTTGCAGCATAGTAATGAGATAAGCAAGGTGCAGTGCGTCGCAAAGCTCGGCTTTGCTATATCGTGTATACAGATAATGAAAAGTGGTCTGATTAGTTGCCTGGTATTCGAAAGGGTAGTACGCTTACATTCTATTTGTGAGGTCCCGGGTTCGAGCCCACAGTTGGGTAGATGAATTCATACTGCTGATAAGACCCAATCAGGTCGAAACAGTTGACCAGTGCTTCTTAACTTTTCATTTCACGCTTCATTTATTCTGTTCAAAATGAAATTCTTCATTTGATCAAACCAAATCCTCAACGACTCTCAAGTGATTATTTTTGTTTATGGAATGGAAACTATTCCGGATAACATAGCAGTTGCGTTGGAGACACTACTTAGCACATGGTAGTTTTGTAGATAAACTTTGTTGGGGATGTCCGACAAAACAATTATATCATCATTAAGGGACGATGGTTTCCATGTGATTTATACAGCTGTTGTGGAAACAGAAACC